CCCTTAAAGAAAAAAACTCTAAAAAAAAAAAAAAAAAAGATATTCATTCTGAACCCAATGAGCTCCCCAAGAAGCTGTGGTGTGAGGCTTCCTGGATGGAGGTGCTGGACTTAAGTCTCAGCCTCTGTAATGATAAGGAAGCCAAGGAGCCCAGTCATCCACTTGTGGTGAGAAGTGAAACAGAAGGTTAATCTGAACTTGGAGAAGCACATGGAAAAAAAAAAAAAAACAGACATAGAAGGGGGATTTCTACATTGAATCACTGAGGCGGGAGAATTTCAAACCGAAGCGAGATACCAAAGAAAGAAAAGCAAGAGTTTGGTGCATGCAGTTGGGTGGGAATGAAAAAGGGGCGAGGTGGCTCTAAATCTGACCTCTTCTTGCGCCCACAGAGAAGGAGAGGACAGGAAAAGAAATCTACAAGTGTCTTTATCTGAGCACCACTTGGAAACGAGGCCCCCAAAAGTCATGATTTCCCTCCCAAGGTTTTTGCCATAGGTTGTGTGCACTAACCAGAGAGAGACACACACACAGAGACAGTGAGAGAGAAAGTGAGAAATCACCCCCTGGGGGGGGATGGCCATGCTGCAATCCCTTCTCCACTATCTTGGGATTTGGAGCGTGTATGCATGGTATAATTTTTCAAGCCACCATGTCTAGGATTCGAACCATGGTCGGCCGTTTGGGAGTTCAGTGCCTTAACCACCATGCCACGTGCTGGCCCCTAGTGGTATCCTTTTTTACAGAGGAAAACATCTGGGAAGCTTCCCAATCATTTAAAATGAGCCCACAGCTGAATGAGTTGCCAGGACACACAACTTTCCAAGTCAGCCCAAAGATATTGGGTCAGGGCCAGCAGGTGACCCAGAGGTTAAGGAGCTGGATCCTACATGGCTGACTGTGCATTTTGAATCCCAGATTTGGCAGCTTGAAAAATCAAAATTGAAAAGTTCCGAGCATGCAAGCTATGGCTGACTGTGCATTTTGAATCCCAGATTTGGCAGCTTGAAAAATCAAAACTGAAAAATTCCAAGCATGCAAGCTCAAAAACCCCGAGAGGAGAATGAAGAAGAAGGGATTGTGGCATGGCCATCCCCCTTGGGGAGTGATCCACCCCCTCCTCCACCCTTCTGTCTCTCTGTGGTGATAGATCAGGCTGCTAGGCTAAAAATTGCAGCTCTGGCGACCAGCCAATAGCCTAGTGGTTACTCCACAAGGCCATCGAGCCCTGGACCCAGTGGCTTGAAAATCACACCAGGCGTGTACATGCGTGCCCAAGATCCCAGGAAGAGAATGGAGCAGAAGGGATTGTGGCATGGCCATCCGACTTGGGGAGTGATTTCTTGCTTTCCCTCTCATTGTCTCTATCTCTCTCTCTCTGACTAGTGCATGCGCCCTAGGGCAAAAACCTGAAAAAAAAAATCAAACATGGCTCTGAGGCTGGTGTTTCTGGGACCGTCTGACCTACCTTTGCACGGCTATGCACCTTGATCTGAGAACAGCAGACCAAAGCGTGTAGACTTTCAAGGTCCTTCCCATCACTGGAAAGAACCATGAGGCCAGGCACCAGGAACATCTTTGGCCGAACACCTCAGGGACTCTCTAAAAATCAGGCTCAGTGGCTTTGGTTCTTTGGAAGGGTCCCCCCTCCCTCTGCACCCAGGAAGTCCTATGTTTTCAAGGACTGGACGCCAGATGAGAGCTGGTTTTTTTCTGTGAGTCAACTCTATTCTTCCGGAACTGGAGTTCGCACCCTCCCCACTGCTCGTCAGCTGCAGGGGCTTAGACGCGTCATGTTGCCTGTCACCTCTCATCTTCGGCACAGCTGGCTGGCATGTGAAGTGAAGTGATGTATGTAAAGCGAGTTTGTGCCTGACAATAGCGGGACCCTATTGTCATTTTTCTTAATAATTATTTAATTTTATTTATTCATCCATTTATTTTAATTTGACAAGAGAGAGACAGAGAGAGAGAAGGGAAGTGAGAAAGCAAGCTACCAGGTCCAGGACTTGAACCGTGGTTGGCCATGCGGGAGTGTCCAGCACCTTAACCACCAAGCCACCGGCTGGTCCCCTATTGTCATCTTATAGCACAAAATTTTCTTTCCTGAAGAAAGAGTTGTTTGTTTGTTTTTTGAGAGGTTTTTGCTATAGGGCGCGTGTGCTCGCC